ATGAAAAAAGGCTTTTGTGGGGTAAGACTTAGGACTCTTCTGTAATTGCTTTCTCTTCCGGCGAAGAGATAGCTAGATGACCTCAAGACCAGGCCCATTATAAATGCTCCATCACACATGCCCCACTTGATCTTAGCCAAAAGGCCGAGAAGTGACAAAAGCTCCCGCTCATACAGTGAACCCAGGGCGCCATTCATGAGCAGCGCATCCCAGACAGCCTTGGCTCTCAGCCAGAGCTTGGAAAAAACATCTAGCCCATCGGTTATGCCGGCTAAGGGATTCTGGGACTTGTAGTTCAGAAAAGCAACTTCTTCTATGCTCTGTCTCAGCCTCTTGTGGTGATATGGTAGAGATCAAGAAGCCTCTTTGAGGTGCCATTCTGGCATGCAGGCTGTGTGGGGATTTCCTGAAGCCCTTATTTTCTGTGGGAGCATCGTCTTATCCCTCATGCTGTTGCCATGCAAGCCTATGCACAGTGCAGACGTTTTGCTCTAAAGGTACCTCTTCCCGTCTGAAGATGCTGATCAAGCACAGAACAAAGGACATGGAAGAGGAAGTTACTGCTGTTGCCTCAGTTGGGGTGAGCCAGCTCTAGATGATATTCCCCTCAGCAAGTAAAGATCTCTTCTTAAAGGTCTAGTATCTTCTTTATTCACCACAGCTTAGAATCCAAGCTACAGAGGTGGCAGATAGAGGAGTCTATAGGTCCAGAGAGGTTTATTCCTATTGAAGGAAACTGACTTCCCCCAAAGACCTAAGAAAAGCTGTGCTGGATCGCACAACTATATGAAACACCCTAAAGGCCTATCTAGTCCCGTATTCTGTACCCAATGAGGCCACCCAAATGTTCCTGGGCCAAATATGAATGTGGCAGCACTCTCCTATGTATGTTCCCCAGGTACTGATACTCAGAGACACACCGCCTTTGATATTGGGATTGACATGTGGCCATTAAATAGCCATCCACAGCCTTAACCTCCATTCATTTGTCTAATCCTCTTCTAATCCATTGTCCTGTGGTTGCCATTTTTTTAAGTCAATTTATTCACTGTGTGAACAAGTATTCCCTTTTGCCTATCCCAACTCTTCCCAAAATTTTACTTTATTGGATGGCCCCAATTTCTTCTACTGTGAGAGAAGGAGAGAGAAAAATCTCCCTAACTATCAATTTCTGCTCCATCTTCTGATGTGAGTGACCAAAGCAAGGATACGACACCTTTTTGCTTTATTAGGCAATCAAGCTCCACCTTAACACCTTTTTCTTTCTTTTCTACAGCTTGTTCGTGATCTTATATTTCACATACAGCAGCAACACTATCAGGACGCCCCAGAGAGATATCGTACTAAGGCCTACAGCACCCTCTGCTCACCGATCAGCCTAAACTTTATAGTACATTTCCAGCAATTTTGAGTTCTGCCAGGAAGAACTGCAGCAGATTCCTCTCTAGTTTCAACATGTCTTGTCTTGCTCCATTTACAGTAAGCCAGCAAGTTGCTGCCGCCACTGCTGTTGCCGCTATGGTCATTTCCTTCGTTCCAGGTTCAGCCCGTACTGTTCCTTTCTCTGCAACTCTTCCCCTTCTTTCTACAAATTCCCCTTCAGGCTGTTTCTGAACCCTTGCCTTCCACCGACCTCTACTGTGCCAAAAAGGTTCACTCTGATCAGCCTCCTTTCAATGTCTAACTGTCTTAAGGCACACCCACACCCCGCACCCTCCCATTTCTTCGGAGAAGATCCATCACGGGCCCACAATGAGTGAACTCAAAAGACCCTGATAAGTCTACATACCAGATGTTTGATGTCAGGGAAGCCTCAAGTGTCTGATGTCCGGAAATCTTAACCAACCAACCAATATCTTTGGGGAAGGCTGTCCTCTGAAATGAGAAGTGGGCCTAATCCTGCCCCTCTCACTCTTTCTCTCCCCCAAGTCTCCAACTCCTTCTATTCCCCTCCATCAGTAGAAAACATGAACCTGGAAGCCAAAAGTGGAAGGCAGCTGGAGAAGGGAACAAAATGAAGTCGGGAGAGAATGGGTGAGAGTGTAGCTAAGCATTCCTTCTTTGCCCTTTTCCACCTCCAGCTACACCACCCTCTTTCATTTCATACATGCTCAGTGCAAAGAACAGGACTTCTAGATCCAGGTTTTCCACCAGGTGTCTGGTTTGGGAATAAAGACTATAATAATGTGCCCTCAAGTCAATTCTGACTTACAGCAACCCTTTTCAGAGTGTTCTAGGTAGAGAGTACTCAGAAGTGGTTTAACATTCCCTCCTTCTGGGGGTCTCGTGGGACTGCGCAGCTTGGTCAAGGCCACAGCAGTTGGTTCTACTCACAGGAGGCACAGTGGGGGAATCGAACTCCCAGACTGTGGCGGCCAAGGCCACACCAGTTGGTTCTACTCACAGGAGGCACAGTGGGGGAATCGAACTCCCAGACTGTGGTTCCACAACCAGATATCTAACTCACAATGAACTATCTAGCCTGATTGGAAATAGAATGTATGAAAATGCATGCTGGAATTCTAGGCGGCTCCACAACCAGATATCTAACTCACAGTGAGCTATCTAGCCAGCAGATTGGGAATAAAATGTATGAAAATGCATGCTGGAATTCTAGATTAAAATTATAGGCATGTGCGGGGGCGGGTAGATCTACCTTTCTTAATAGGTCATAACACTTAAAGCAGGAAATCATAAGACCACTTTTTAATTTTTCCTAAACAGTATGTCTCTTAGTCCTATCCACTTATTTCATTATATTGATCTATCTGTCAATCTATCCCTATTTGTGAATGCTTACGGTAAAATAACTCTAGAGAGCGGAATGCACTGGAGGAAGGCATTTACAGGTCAAAGGATGTCCCATTCATGTCTCATTCCTTAACAGGAGGACCTTTTGTCCCTTTGGCAGCCAGGAGCTTTCGAGTGATCACAGCCAACTCCTGATGAAATTACAGACGAGCAAGGAATTGCATGTTAAGTACAACCCTGATATTGATCGCCCCCCTTTGAACTTGACGGAGGATCTGCCCTTTTGGATGTGGGCTTGTAAAACCCCAGCCAACACAACAGGGGATCTGGCTTGTAACTGAGGCTCCTGGGAGCCGTCTATAAATATCACGAATGGCTTATGGCCATGGTTGCACGTGAGGCTTAGAAGCCACTGTGCAAAACCCAAAGCAATTGAAAATGAATGTGAATGTAACTACCACCACCCAAAAAAACATAAAACGATGCTGCTAACAAGGTATGCATTCCATTTCCATAATGTCTTTTGTCCCGTGTTAACATGCAGTCACCAACCGACCAACAACCGTGTGAAAGGGGAAGGTGCTTTTTTAATGTCTTGTGTGAGAAGGCTCAAAGCCCTTACCAGCTGCAGGCTGAATGTCAAAAGTCAAGCGGAACTCGTTAGAAAATAAAAATAAAATCTGAAATTCAGCATTGCAGAGCCTTGCTTGTTGTTCTCAAGACAGAGCAGGGATCCACTGAGCACAGCTGAAGGTTGAAGGTGAGGAGGAAACGGAGAAGAGGAATGGAGGGGAAAGATAAAGAAAGATGGACTGGGGACAAAAAGCAATGGTGGACAGACGGAGGACTAAGGGGGACTTCCAAACAAGGCTTCTCATAAATAGAACTTTATTGGGGACACTGTCTTCCATTTGCACTGTCTTCTTCCATACATAGAACTTTATTGGGGATCCAGACACTGTCTTCCATTTGCACTGTCTTCTTTCCAATTTTCCCCAACAATGCCTTGTTTTCTTATTACAGAAACATCTGTTAACAGCAGTATTGCATCTCAACCATCTGGAAGCACCTTGAGGATGTTTTGTACACTAACTGTTAATTGGTATTCCGCCCACAAAGCAACAAGTAAAATTACTTCGCCTCCAGTTATCTTTGAGAACCAGTTACTTTTTGGAATTACCACTCCCAGATATCCCGGCCGGCACAATTACAAACTGTCCAGGCTGGAGGCTTCTGGTAGGTACAGTCCAAAAAGAAAAAAAATAGAGTATGCTTTCTAAACTCTGACCTTTGAAGCAACATAAACACCTCAGAGCATTCTTTGACAAATACCAGGCAGGGTGGAGGGAAGCAGGAAAAGAGGAAGACCAAATGCATGATGGGTTGACTCCCTAAAGGAAGCCACAGGCTTGAGTTTTCCAAAGCTGAGCAAGCCTGTTAAGGACAGGACATCTCAGAGATCCCTCAAGCTGAGCAAGCCTCTTAAGGACAGGACATCTCAGAGATCCCTCATTCATAGGTTCATTTTAAGTCAGAGGTGGCTTGATGTCACATAACAGCAGCATCCTGACTAGCATAAAAAGATGGTGAAAACCAAGAGGAGGTGACTAAATGGACAAGAGAGGAGGTGTCTTCTGGCAAAAGTGATATACTTGATCCTGATAGACACAGGTTCAAATTTCTTCAAGTCACAAACATGCAGAATGGCCATGAGCAAATTGTATTTCCTTGGCCTTGTTTGCCCAACCGCAAAATGGGGCAAACGACTATGTAATTTATAAAGACAAAGACAGTAAAACCTATTTCATACTTTATAAAAGCACGGTGTGTATGGTGGGGGGGAGGGGAGAGAAGCTGCAGGAAGAAGTTTTCATCATGAAAGAGGATCGAGGTTCTCGTCGCTCTTCTGGAATCTCACACCGTTTCGGCAAAAAGATCGTCACGTTTAGCCCTGCCAGTGCAATTCCTTATATGAATATATTTCCAGTTGTGTTGGAAGTGATGAACAAAAAGGGTAAAGGAAGCAAAAACGGGGCGGGGGGGGAGAGAACAGGAAAAGGAACAAAAGAGAAATGAGCTTGCAAAGGACGGCAGTGACTGAAAGAACAAAGTCAAGAAAATGAAGAAGCAGAGGATGACCGAAGGGACTATGAGACAAAGCTGAAGGCAGATATAGTGATGGAAGCAGACGAACGAACGGCAAAACGCCAAATGCACAGAGAGGTGTGCCAGACAACAGGTGCACGTACCTTCTTCCGATGGGGATCGTTCTTGGCCAGGCAAGATCGCTGCAGGGAGAGGTATCCCCCAATCACCTGGATCTCCTCAGCCGTGGGGTAGCGCTTCTTCACCGGTGCCACGACGGTGGGAGTGTCGCTCTCGAAGCCATTTTCTACTGCCGTAACAGGTGCCACGGGGACTTTGCGAGGGTTGATCGTGATGGTGTTGCCGCTGCGACGCTGCACTGCTGGGTGGGGGGACGAGGCTCGGGCCAAGCCCCCCACCCGGACATCCTCCTTGGTGGTGCCTCCGCTCCCGCCCCGTCTCATGGCCTCAGCCTCAGGAGGATCCTCGGCGGGGACGTCTGGCAGAAGTGGCTCTCGGCTGGGTGTCGAGCAGGAAGTGGGGGCTGGGGGCTGCTTGACAGCGGGAGCAGCAGCAGCAGCAGGAGGAGGAGGAGGGCTGGCTTCCTGCTTGGGTTCTGGGAGTGGGGGAGGAGAGGACGAGGTCCGTCGCGGCACAACCATGAAGGAGTTCCGAGAGTGGAGGCGGAGGTTGGCCAAAGCTTTGCCCTGGACATCATCTTCAGCCACCGGAGCCGGGGCTGCTGATGGCCGGAATTCAAAGCTAGCCTCCGAATCACTGCTGGTATCCGCTTTGGGCCCCCTCTCCGGAGAGGCCGTCTCCCTGCCCCGTGTTTTCCCGGCTGGCGAGCGCCTTGGAGGGCTGTCTGGCCAGGCGTCCCCGCCGGCAGATTTGGTTTCAAACTGGCTGCGATAAGATGCTACAGTGTACGGCACTGGGGAGGTTAGACCCGGAAGGTCGCGGGGAGGACTGGGCGTGCCATCACGGTATGACCTGGTGGAAGGATTGGCATCCACGGGCATGCTGCCAGGCTTCCTGGTCACGTAGGTGCTTTCGGTAAGGTTCTCAGTACTGAGGGACCTCACCGGGCGCGGGGGTACCTGCCGCCCGCCATCCTCCTGGCTGAACCGACTCAGCAGTTTGCTCACTCGCCCTTGACGTGGTTCTGACAGTGACCCCCGGTACTCGGTCCGGCCGACGGAATTGAGGTCCTCCACGCTACGGCTCAAAGCCGACTTGACAATGAAGACCTCCCCGGCGCGGATCTCGGTCACGCTGCCGCCCCGTCGTGCCAACAACTCATTCAGGGATTCCACGCTACCTGACTTGCTTTCCCCTAAGTGCCGATCCCCAGCCAGCTGTGCCGGCGGCGCCCCCGGCACTGTCTCGATAATAATAACATTGTCAGCACGCAGGGTGCGAACCCCTGGAATTTGCCCGTACAGATCCACGATCTGCTTGGCTTTCACACTGGCAAGATCATTCTCCGACTCCTTGTAGCGCCGTTTTTCTAGTTGAATGAAAGGGTTTTGGTGGATTGGGCCAATCTTTTCCTGTAGCACCGAACTCTCCAGCGCCCCCTCTGGGCAGGGTGGTGTGGCTGCAGGGGCTGTGGCCATGGCCGTCTCTGGCCCTCCTGGCTCCGAGAAAGAGGTGCTGGAGCCCTGCTTGGCCCGGCGTCTCTCGATGATCTCCCGTTTCCAGGCCGGCATCTTGGCCATGCGGTCTTGCTGCTCCCGCTCTCTGCGGCGAGTTTCCTCCTCTTCTTTGCGCCGGCGCTCCAGCAACTGGAGCTTCCATTCGGGCAGGACAGGAGCGGAAGACATGGTTGATCCGGGGAGTGACCAGGTCTCGGACAGGGCAGCAGGGAACCAGAGGAAAACCTGGGAAAGAACGAGGAGCGTTTATAACGAAAAAAAGAAGGTTCAGCAATGAGAAGGGCACGAAGGAGAGAATAAGAAAGGAAGGACGGGATAAGGGCAAAAGGAGAGAAAGAAAAAGAAGAGCAAAAAAGTGGACACAGAAGAATAAAGAAAGGGAGGAAAGGCAGAAGGCGGGTGGGGAAAGGCCTGGAAAGACAAGCCAGGAAGGAGGAGGAAAGAGAAGGGAACGTCAGGGCAAAGCCAGGGAAGAGAGACCGGATGATAGGAAATACTGTAAATGGAGAGAAAAAAGGTGTGGAAGAGAGAAGGCTAGGAACAGAAGGGAGACAGGATAGATGGCAAGAAAACAGGATGGGGAAAAAAGAGGGTTTGGGGTGGAGAAGATGCAGGGAAGGAGAAAGCGGGAAAGACAGGGGTGAGGCAGAGCCAGAAAGAGGGAAAGATAACCGTAAGCGAAGATTGTCAGGTAGGAGGGACTGAAAAAGCAGACTGAGCAAGTAGTGAGTGAGTGAGAGAGAGAGAGAGAGAGAGAGAGAGAGAGAGAGAGAGAGAGAGAGAGAGGGA